GCTAATATACCTTTTGTTACACTAGCTAATTAAATATAGTTTAAATTTAGAAACTGTTGTTCCCCCAGCGAAATGTCTCATAAAGGACAAACTATTCACTCAAAAGAAAGAAATATCATAAAAAATAGTGTAAAATATCATCAAATTTATGAAATATTCATTGTTAAAAATATGCACATAAAGTTTGCGAAATAAATATTTTTGCCAAACGATCGCCAAATAGCAACATTGTTCAGGATTGCTCACAACGTTCTCCCAAAAATAGCGAAATAGTATCGTCGCATACCACGTGATGAAGGTGGAGCCAAGTGCCAACTCCTGGTGAACGAGCTATACCTGTCATGCTTTTTAATTAGGAGGATTGAATACAAATGGCAGAAGTGGAATGCCATTTATCCGAAAACGAAAATTAATTTCATCCAGTTAATTTAAATGATGAAAAAAAGAATTTCTAATATTTTAAAACCTGTTACTATTATTGTAAATATGACTTTCTTACTAATTCATATTTTTTCTTTTAGGTTTCAATACTTCCAATTTTCAACAGGTAGACGGAAACAGTATTTAAAATAATTTTGTTGGTTTGCAAAAACATGAAATTTTAGTTTTAAATTAAAGTAATTTGAATTTCAGCTGACTAATTATTTAAATTTGCTGTTTTATAGCTTTGAAAATTCAAGCACCTTAGACAACTATCTTCTAAAAAATAATTTTTCTCCTGTAGAATTCGGATAAGTGTCATTTCAAGATGATGTAATTCAATCTATTAAAATAAGAGAAGAATTATGCGTTTGAAACTTTCTTTTATAGCTTAAAAAAGAAGCAATTACTGACGAGGGTATAACATTAAAAGCTTCAGGTTGATAAATGATCTCTACTAGTGAAAAAATGTAATGATATACATTATTCTTGATATATTATAGATAATATCTTTATATATATATAATATTCTTTATGTAGTGAGGTTAAAAATTAATAAACTAGGTGGACCGTATAACACCTCACGTTTGGGAATTATTGCCTTTGTAAATATTAGAAAAAAACAGCTTTAGGTTGAGATATATAAGCCTGAAGTGTAAAATGTCGCATCTTTGGTTAATAAATTAATGTCCCGCAGTGGACTGATCGTTAAGACACGGTTCTCATCAGATTACCGAAGTCAAGCATCACTAGCTGCGGTCAGTGTGCAGGTGGGTGACCCACTTGGATCAGTCTGCGTAGGGACCGAGGGTGTGCGGTATTGGTCCTCGTTAAACTGTGCTACCGTAAAGTGCTCGACTTCGCGTGCAGGTCGTTGGGCTACCGAAGCGGGGGTGCCATCCCCTCTGCAGAGGATCAAAATTGTGATGGCATGTCTTCGGATCATCCTCAGGGATGTTTCCCAGACCGTCGCCAATAGCCCATTGTGCAGTTCTAGTGCGACGTAAATCAACTACAACAACAACATAATAAATTAATACTTCTAAAAATACAAAAATATATACTTAAGGTTACGAAATAATGACCTAAGATAAAACATGGAATATATGACGTTAATAAAAAATAACCTTTTCAAGTGTCAAAAAATATTGAGGTTGATTTATAATAACCAGAAGTGTAAAATGTCACACCTTAGGTAGATAAATAAATATTTCAACAACTATATAAATCTACTCCTGAGGTTGAAAAATAACAACCTAAAGTAGCACATCGAACTCCTAACGTTCATAAAAATCAAGCTATCCAACGGTTAAAAAATACACTTGAGGTTGAAAAATAATAACCTGAGGTCGAAACTAATACACCTCACGTTACTAAAAAATTACCTTTCGAACTGTCAAAAAATACACCTGAGGTAGATTTGAAGTAACCTGAAGTATTAAATGAAACACCCTCAGGTTGTTGAATAAATACTTCCACAAGTGTTACAAAATATACTTCAGGTTGATAAGCAATAACCTATGGCTGAAAATGAAACACCTTAAAGTAATAAATATATACCTCGTTACAGATCAAAAATTAAATACCTCAGGTTGATGCATATATACCTCTGGTGGTATATTTGCTGTTAACTTTGAGGTATTCATTTGCACCCTTTTCAACTTAACAACGTATTTAAATAACAACCTGCTTTATACCTTTGAAAATTACCTCATTTATACCTCGATTTTTTCGTAAGGGTTAATAAGTACCTGGTTTTCTTTAGTTGAAATAAGGTAATTTTTTTTATATCAAAAAAATACCTCTTTTGTTATAAGCGTCAGAAAAACAACCTGCATACCTTAAAGATCACTTCCTCAATCTGGTTGATATGTAAGCAACTTTAACCAACCTTACTATAAGCTTAGGTATAAATAAAATGACTTCATACACCTTAATAAATACCTGACTCTCTTTAGTAGAAATAACGTGAAATTTTTATACCTCATAAATAACTCTTTTATTACAAGTGTCAGAAAAACAACCTGGTTTACCTTTGAAATCACCTTAGCAGTCTGGGTTGATATTAAGTGAATTTTAAACAATCTCAAAGTAAGTTTGGTATAAAAAAATAACTTCATACATCTCAGTGACAACCTCACACTTTTTAGTTGAAGTAAGGTAGATTTTTTATACCTCATTACCTTGAAAATCACCGCATCAGCCTGGTGATTGATTTTAAGAGAATTTTAAATAACCTCAAATTGAGCTGAAGTGCATGTAAAACAACCTCGTACACCTCATTTACAACCTTTATGAGGTGCAATTTTTATGGTTGTTTTCTCGGCAGCCTCAAATATATCTCAAAACAACCTCGATACCTCAAATATATCTTTTTTTTCTAAAGAAATTACAAAATATTGAAACACAATTTTTTCTTTTAAAAGTTGTGTTGAAAGCGTTTTTGTTTAAAATACAAGGTAAATAAGGATTTTTGGTTGATGGATTGATTAGCTTTCGTGACTGCGAAGATGGAATTTTGCGCTCAAAATTTCAACCCTTTTCCGACTAGCTAAAGAAGTAAAATTTTTATTGGTGCTCCGTATTTTATAACAATGCAAGTTTTAATTGGTTTCTGGTCACTACATAGTGTAAGAAATTCTTGTAAAATTACCGCAGTGTACGATAATGTCTTTCGCTATATAAACAATCATTCAGGTTAATAAAACCAAACAATATCGTATTTAAACGATTCATTTGGTAATTTTTTTTCCATATGGGAACCGTTTGCAGAAATTTTGGTTTTGAAAATTTTAATTCCTATTCCCCCATACTTAGTAAAAAGTATAAAACTGAAAAGTAAATTCAACCGAATAACTGGTTTTTATGCTATCCTCTAAGATATAACAAAATTACCAAATTGTACCCCATTTGAAATTTTCTCCCGTATAAGATTACATTTTATTGTTTATTTCACAACGGCCATAGAGCCGGAAACATGGTAGATTTGACCATATTCCAGTAGTTTTGGTCATGCTGTTTTCTCGTTGTAAGAAGCAGAATTTATCGCTATATTATTCTTGAAAGTAATACATCATCATTCCAAATTTTTTCTATTTTCCGACTAGCTACTTTGCTCAAATTTCAATTGAAGATCTGTGCCTGATGACAATTCAAGTTGCAATTTTTCATAAATAATGTAAGGAAAAATGTATCGCCAATAGAATTTTTGGACATTTTTTGACGATGAGAAATAAACAGACATAAAACTGAAAGGAAGAAAATCATAAAATAAAGCAAGAATTTTAAAAACTATGTTTTCAAGTTGACTAAAAAGGAGAAAATAATTTTTATTTTATCAAACTTAAAACAAAACACTTGCATATATAGATAGAATAACTTAAGTTATTCATTTCTATCGCTATTGAAAATTCCCCTCCTTCCTTCAAAAGTGTGTTTCTGCTACGGGTTTTTAAAACAGGTAAAATTAAAATAAAATTATTATTTTCTTTTCAGTTTGCTTAAAAACATAGTTTTTAAAATTTGTATTTTGTTATTGATTTTATTTTTTGTTTACAGAATTTGTTTATTTGAATGAGATCCAACATTAGTTAGACTTAATTTATTTAAGTGCAATTTTTTTTATTATACTTTACCAGCTTTAGTATATCATGCCTCAAAAAATAGTTTCCTTTTCTGCATTTTTTTTATACGCTCCCAGAAAAAAATTAAAAATTTCACTACTTATATTTCAAATCTTAATTAGCATTTAGTAAAAGATTAATCATTTCACCACGTATCATCTTAAATCTTAATTAGTTTTTAGTGAAATATTAAATCGTTCACTACGTATTGTCTCAAATCTTAATCAGCTTTTAGTAAAATATAAAAAATTTCATTACGTATCATTTGAAATTTTAATTAGCTTTTAGTAAAATATTAAGAATTTCACTGCATATCATTTTAAAATAACGAGCTATTTGTAAAAAAAATAAAAATTTTACAACGTATCATTTTAAATTTTGACCTAATTTTAATTCCAGATTTATTCACAACACCAAAGGACCAGAGTGTAATTTATCAATTTGAGTCCTTCGTGATTTAGGTATTGACTGAAGGTTCAGTTGAGTATTTGAGCAGACAAAGAAAAAGATATTTCGTTTTATAATAAGTGTAAAATCTGACTTGAATACAAGGAAAAAGGTACTTGCATATATATAAAGGTATTGTCTATTATATGAAAATAGAAAATATAAATGAAAATAGAAAATTGCTTATAGATGTTCATTAATTTTTTTTCTCTTCAAATTTGCATGTTTTTCACAAACTTGCTATGAAATATTACACGTCATTCTCTTGTGAGGTGTTTTCTTTTGCCAATGATTTGGAATTGTAAAGAATTCCTAAAAAAAAATTTTTTTTGCTTATTTGTGTCAATGGTAACTTCCTTTAGAGCATTTTTTATAACCCCTTGCCAACAATAAAGTATTATTCCTAAAAGAAGAAATATTAGTTATAGCGTGATAAAAACGCTACATCACAAACAGATATAGTTTTGAATTTTTTCCTTGTTTCATCATATATAAAATATTCATGTTAAATTTTAAAATTATTACACACTTCGACATCTTTGAGTTTTCAAGCAAACTTCGCCACAAAAATGTCTGCACTTATCCTTTCAGTAATTTGCTTGATATTTGTCGCGGGAACACTCTGTGCCGGTAAAGATGTCGACTATGATAAAATGAAAAGTACCATGTGTAAGATTTGAAAATTATTTCTATTTTATTCAACAAGCCTCTGCATACTACTAATATCTTATGGATACTATTTGTTAGGGTTTCGATTAGAATTAACTAATTAAAACCATCGATTTTCTGTATAATTTCAATCATTATTTGAAATCATTGAATCAACGATTTTAACTCAACTTTAATAAATAACTTATGCAATCCATCCACCAGGGTTCCAATTTGAATCAACTGATTAAAATCATCGATTTTCTGTATTATTTTAATCATCTTTTTAAATCATTAACTCAACGATTTTTCCAAAACTTTGATAAGTAACTTATGCTTACCATCTACCAGGGTTTCGATTTAATCACCTGATAAAAAACATCGATTTCCAGTATTATTTTAATTTTTTTTTAAATCATTGACTTAACGACGAGGCATAAACTTTCATAAGTAACCTATGCATACCATCTACCAGGGTTTCAATTTGAATCAACTGATTTAAATCAGCGATTTTCTCTATTATTTTAATCATATTTTTAAATAATTCATTCAGCTATTTTTAATAAACAATCCTTTTTAACAAGTAACTTATGCATACCATCCAACAGGGTGCCTATTTGAGTCATTTGATTAAAAGCAGCTATTTCATTTATTATTTTAATCACTTCTTTTTGTTAAATCATTGATTCACGATATTTAGTAAGCAATCCCTTTTTAATAAGTAACTTATGCATACCATCCTACAGGGTGTCGACTACAGGGTGTTCAACTATCTTATTAATCATTGTTTTTACTATCCTATGGGTATTATCTACCTGTGGGTTCCTTATTGAAATCAGCAATTTCATTTATTATTAAATCATTTATTTCTTATATTGATAAAAAGATGTAATAAATTATTATTTTCAACTATCTTATTAATCATTGTTTTTACTATCCTATGGGTATTATTTACCTGTGGGTACTGATTGAAATCAGCAATTTCATTTATTATTAAATCATTTATTTACTTCAATATTGATAAAAAGATGTAATAAATTATTATTTTCAACTATCTTATTAATCATTGTTTTTACTATCCTATGGGTATTATCTACCTGTGGGTACTGATTGAAATCAGCGATTTCATTTATTACTTTAATCCCTTCTTCCTTTTCAGTTATTGATTCAGCAATATTGTGAATAATTTATTTTCATTTAGTGACTAATGCATATTATGTAAGAAGATGTCGATTCAAATCAACTTATTTAAAGCAATGATTTAATTTATTATTTTAGACTCGTTGTTTTTTTTAAAATCATTGATTTAATAACACAATTCTCTATATTATTAAATAATTCCTTTTCATTTTGCAACTCATTTATCAATCAGCTGATTAAAATTGGCGATGTCATTTATTATTTTTATCACTTCTCCTCATTTAAATCTTTAATTTTTACAATTTAGTTTTAAAAAAATGACAAATGAAATAATTTGTCAGAATTTTAACGAGATTTTAAGAATAGATAACATTTGAAACTTTCTAATTAAAGAATTTAGTTGAAAACTTATTAGTACTTTTAACCGACGAGTACTTTTAACCAGGAGAATGGTGTAATTTATTCTAGCTTTTATGTTTAAATATCTTAATGCAAATAATAATATTAAAAATGTACTTAAGTTATAAAATTTGGTTATAATAATAAATAAAATAAAATTATTTGTTTTTCCTTCATTTAAAAAGACAAAAACGGGAAAATTATATAAAAAAATATACTGGTCGCAAAGTTTTGAACGCCAATGTATTTCTAGTGCACTATAAAAAATTTCCTGATAAAATTACAGTATGAAGTACCGGCACTTTGGGCTCATCATCCATAAAATCCATTTTACTGTAACATCTATTTTTATCGCGAAATAATAATAAATTTTTACAGCAATATTTATTTAATTAGAGTGATTCAGTGATTTTACGGAAATGATTACTGTAAAAATTACGGTATATAAGATTTTTTGTTCCTAAACATATTCCGGTAAAAATTTATTTTACAGTAAAGTAACGGTAATTTTCACCATAATTTTACAGTTGTGATTAGTAAAAAATGATGATATAGTAATTTCAATATTGTTTGGGAATGAGCATAAGGAAAAGAGAATATTGTATGCAATAATACGTTTAATGAATGTAGTCAAGTGTTCACATCTATTATGTGTTTCAGTGTATATTTTGAAAACATTTGCCTGATTTGCGCAATTAACGTTTTTGAGTTCTCATACATTTAATGACATTTGCAGGTGTTGAAAAGGATATGGAGAAAATTGGCTGCATGAAGAAAAATCTTGGACCATTAGTAAGTTGCATACTCAGAGTTTATTTTCTAAAAACTTTAGGTAAAAAAATAACTTTTTCTTATTCTGTGCATTTGGAGTAAAATGGGTTTACTTAACGCAAGAAAGGCCTTTAAGATTAGACAAATTATTTTAAGCCCCGATTTCTCTGTAATTGATCAGAAACAACATGATTCAATCGGCTTTGATTACACTTTTTCCCCTTAAAAAAGGCTTTGTTTTCTGCTCGTTCCATTCTCCCACCCCCAGGATTATTTTACATTCATTTTTGTTCTTTTTTTCTTCTTTAAAGTAGATATCTCTTCAAAAGAAAAAAAACATAAATCATTTTATGACATAATTATTATACTATTAGGTAACAGCATTTTCTTAGTAATTGTAGCAAAATAAATGGTTATATCTGAATTCAAAGATTATTTAACAGTACTTGAAAAAAATTTAAAAGAATACAAAATGCTGGACATAATAAAAAGAAACTAATGAAAAGTAATTTTACTCGCTAACGACGCTAATATATAATTATAATAGTTATAATAGGAGATAGTTTTTATCTCTCTCAAATAAAAAAAAATTTTATAAATTTTTTTAAAAATTTATGTAAAAATTTTTAAATTTACATCTGAGAAAATCTAATCTCTCTTTTTCTGCTTCCTTGCTCTCTTTTTTTTTTTTTTTTTTTTTTGCTATTTTGCACACCAATTTAAGGGTGAGCATATTAATAAACATCTCCAGAGAAATAAAAAAGTTTTTTTTTATAGCAACAGAAAAGTATTCATTATAGAAAACAAAAGAGAATGAGAGAAAATTTGTAAAAAGAAAGATCTTAAACTTTCTAAAACTTCAACTCCATAACTTTGAAACAAATTGGAATTTAAAAAAACAACAACTCGAGTTAAATTTTTAGCGGAAAAAAAATCAAAATTCAACTCTTTTGTTGCATTTCTGTTGTCCGTAGAGCATCCGGTGAGGTATTTTTTTGCGCGTTTAATTGTTAATAATTCTCAAAATTACTATCGAATGTAGAATTTCATTATTTCCTCGCAATTCTAATACATGTTCTAAACACTTTCTTAATTTCCACTTTCTAAGTCTTACAGTTTTTGCAGAAATAAATTTAACAGCTGCGTCGACTTACACTATTTTTTAATAAGCTAGGAGAAGACACTCCCTACTCGCTCCGCTCATCAATGCTGGATAATTGCTCCTCATTAATCATTGTTCTTTTCTTTAAAGTTACTATTTTCCACAAGAACCCCCCAAAAATTTTCTTTCTAAATTATACGATTATTTTAGCTTTATGTAAGAGCATTTTGTCAACATGTTAATCTTCAGGAAATGAACGATTACGTGGATCTGAAAAATAAGAATCTATGTTTGAAAAAATAAAAAACATCNATTTTTCTACATAGAGAGATGTACTTAGATTACTACTTTAGTTTTAATGCATCCTCTTTATATGTTTTTTTAAACAGCTATGTCGAGTTTTACGATTTTTTAATAAGCTAGGAGGCACCACTCCATTTCTACCCAGTTAGTTCAAATTTTATATTTTGATATTTAAAGCTCCATTCTTTAAAATGAAATGGAAATTTTCATACCTTGAGTTTCAAAATTTCTTCGACTGATATTAAATGAAATTATAAATTACAAAAAACAATAAATTATAAAAAAATAATAAATGATTATAATAAATAACATATAATCATTCAAAATGATTTTTTGCATGGAACTATCTTTGAAAAATTGTGTGCGAAATAATCGTGTGCGAAAAATGTTTCGACTTACTATGATGATATAGAGAAAAAAGCAAACAGTAAAATTAATATCTGCTCTCTTGACCAACTACGGGGACTATATTTTCCAGTTTGCGACTACCACCCCCTTAATCTTGAGTGTATGGGTTCGATCCCCACCGGCCAAAGACTCTCCGTGTAGTAAATGACGACTGATGCACGTTAAATCTGTCGAGTCGTAAAGTCCTCCATGTTCCCATAACAAATCAATACCAATCCAGAAGACAAGGAAACTCATGGATCTGTTCAAAATCACAAGGCTGCGGAGTTGAACATTAGTAGTCGTAAACCCGAAATTGTGTCGGCTGTTCAACGATGGATATAAAAAAAAAATTAAAAATATCTTGAGCGTCAAGAAAAGGCATGTTTGCTCAGAGAAAGTCCGCTGTTTCGTCTAATTCAGTAACTTAAAATATCGCCTGCACTAATATATTTAAGGCTAAATTCTTATACCATTAAAATTAAGTCCCAGTCCATGAAAATCCAATTGTTATATCAAAAGTTATTTACGGCGTTCACTTTTAATTTTATCTTACACACGAAACTTTGCTTTATTTTCTGATGGTGTTAGATTTCAATTTTTTTAAAATTATGTTTTCCAGATCGACAAAATTGAGGGTACAGGATGCAAAGAACAAGCACCAGTTTGCGGAAATGAGATGGAATCAAAGTTTTGCGAATCCTCTGAAGAAGAACTGAAAAGCGTTTGTAGCAATTTAATTTAATATTATCTTAGATAGTTTTAAGGGTAATAATTGTTTCCACCATTTAATTGGAAGAACATAGTTAACCTCTTTACTGTGAGAACGGAAAAAAAAGAAAGGGAGACCGCTTAATAAATATGAAATGTGGTCTGCTAAAATTCATATAATCTAAAACCAGTATAAATATTTAATATATATATTACTCTGAATGACCGAAATTGGTGATTGTTGACAGTCACATAGTCGCTTTGTCATAATACTCATTTGAGTAATAGTTTTGTTCACGTATTATTTATAAATATTTGCCTAATTAATTTTCATAAAGCAAAAAATTACCCTTCTTTTAACCTATAGAACCTAACTTTACACTAACCGGAGTCAGAGTCGAGTAAAATTTTTCAGACTACGACTCTTGCAAAATTTTCTTCAACTCCGACTTCACAGCTCTCCTTTAAGCACAGACATGGGATCCAAAATTTTATTAAAATAAAGAAACAATTCGAATTAAGATTAATCGTCAAATTCAAGTCAGTGTTGCGTAAATTAAGACTTTGCTGATAGTCAATGCAACCTAAAAAACTTTGCTGGTTTTATATACCTGCAAGTGACGTCATCGTTCGTAAATTGTGACATTTGTCGATTCAAAAGCCGATCAGGTTCGACACACACACTTGACGTCGTCTGATTTAAATCACATGATCATAAATCATAATCACTTCACTTCTTCTTCAGTTGCAAGTACTCGATTGAAGACAAGAGCTTAATAAGTACTACAACAGATATTTTTTCTTTATTCACGTAATGTTTCTGGCACAACAATTTTTTTTTAAATTTATTGTTCTAATATGTTGCATTAATTTCGTTTTTTTAATTTTTTAGTGCTGCGAGTGCCTGCTGAGTAAACTTGAGGGTGATGTAAGTATTGTTATTGTATAAAAACTTATACGTGTTTTACTCAAACAATACCAGGCCTTAGTTTTTTATGCATTGAACAAATGGATATAGAAAGACGTGTTGTATCAGAGTACGTCATTCATAGGAGCAGAGTTGTTAAACTGTGTGCAACCTTGACGAAGTATTCCAATTACGAAACACGATAACTTAAAATCTATATTTAATAAACCAACAAAACATAACAAATAACATACTACCTTTAAGTAGCAAAGATTAGCGATGAGCATCTATTAGTAACGTATTTATATACTCTCTGGATCGGTGAGGCAGCGCCGCTGTTCAGCAACTACAGGCAGTCGTCATTAGTTCGCTAATAATGATAATGACGTTGTTAATAATAATAATAATGACGTAATGTTAATAATGACAGTAGGTGACGTCGGCTGACATCACAACACTATACAGCGCAGGTTAACAGGCGTTAGTACTTTTGAGGCGAAAAAAAACTCATCCGTGAAGTCAATAATTTTCAAACTCTTATAAAATTTATTTCAAAAAATATTTTTTTCGTTTCAAACTTTGTAACAATTTCTGGATACTAATTTTAAAAACTTAATTGTAAGAAGATAATGGTAAATATAAAAAAAGAAAAGAACGAAACATTCATCTTAGCTCCGAAGAGTTTTTAATTTTTTTATTCCTTATTTTTATTTTTTTTAATCCTACTTTTCTTTTAAAGCTAGTTCTCTTATAGCTAGGGTTAGTATTTTTGATATTGTTCTTATCCTAACATTTTGAAACATTCATCTTAGTTCCGAAGAGTTTTTAATTTTTTTATTCCTTATTTTTATTTTTTTTAATCCTACTTTTCTTTTAAAGCTAGTTCTCTTATAGCTAGGGTTAGTATTTTTGATATTCTTCTTATCCCTGAGTTTTTTCCAACTGTAATTCCCTGATTTATATGAATGTTTTGTGCTTTTTTTCATACTTAGTTTTTGTTATTTAATCCATAATAATTTTGGATTAAATTTCGGATTTATAATAATTTTGGATTAAATTTTGAAGGCCATCTAGAGGCAATAAAACAGCTTTAGTGAGTCAACTTCCACCTTTAATGATAACGGGTCATTCCATGATTCGAACATTAATTTTAAGTGCTGGTTGTTCTTTTTCTGAGTATGTTCTACTTTTATGCATTAATCAACTAATTGATCTGTGCTTTTGTCATTTTGTTAATGCTATAAATAATTTTTGTATTAATCGGCCTAACATACTTTAACAATTGCCTGCTCTTGATTGGCTAACTCATATCAGGAAATTATAAGTAACAGATACGATTTATTATCGAGTCAGTCACAGTGTTTCTCATTCTCTAGAATATAATGTGTAAATAAATACATAATCAACGTTTTTCATTATTTCTGAATCTAAAATATAATGAAAAACAAATGTTTACAAATTTAATGAAATAAATGTTATGTAATAAAATGCAAAATGTAATAAAGTGCACTATCAACATTAGTGGTTAGCTATCAAATACAGAAATAGATGTACATTTTTTCTTTAACTGGAATAAAAAATAGAAACAAATCTCTCATTGTCTAGAAAGTATGCAAGTAACTGATTTCCTGATAAGATTAACCTTTTAGTTTCTTCTGGTACTGATCAGTTAAATTTCCAATGGGTAACAGGAATCTTTTTACATAATTACATCGGAAAAATGCAAGAAGTGTTTTTATTTGTTTTTGTACAAAACTATTGACAGATGGGTTAAGAAAGGCAATTGAAAACTAAACGCAAATCTTGTTGTAAGAAATGTTTGAAGGAGGCGGCGAAGACTCCTATTTCTCCAGTATAAATAATTTACTTAAACTACTGACTAGTCTTGTCTGTTTTTAGACATTTAGAATTACAAATATTTAGAACAAAATAAAGAGACTGCAAGTTGCAAAGGTTTGCCCGGTATCTGAATTTTTCTAAAGTACTAGCAAATAGTCTAGACCGTTTTTGAGACATACAACTTTGCAAATCACATAAAATTAAGTCAATGAATTACAAAAAGAGTTTAGTAAATATAATTACTTTTACTCAGTTTTAAATATTTATTTTTATGTTCCTCAAAATTTTGAGATGAAAGTCGGGAGCAATTAATACAAATATTATCAACATCAATTAAAAAATATTGGTATAAGAATATAAAAACTAAATTTTCAGTATTTAAGAAAAAAATTTTAGACTGAAAAATAAAATTCTTATTTTTTCATTTGTAATGCAATACAAATGGATAAATGAGCAATTATTAACTATAGTATGTTAGAAATAAATTAATAAAGTGTTTTAATATAATATGATAAACTAAATTTTTTTATTCACAGGATTTGAATAAATTTAAGAAAACGCAAGTAAGTAAAATGCTGCATTTTTGTGAATTCTTATTTCCTTATAACAATTTTTAATGGATGTGTTTTTATTATTTTTTAAGCAGTTGCACATATTTATATGTCTCATAATACTGCTGTTAACTTATCAAAATTCTAACACATTCTTGAAGCTTTACAAACGCATGTATTATTCTGCATTTTTTAATCTTTATTATACTTAAACAAATAATGAGTATGATGTAGATATTCGTAAATTATCTCTGACGCATTTAAAAAATAAAGAAAAATTAAAAAGATTGTTTCTAAATTTTTCATAAAACTGAAAAGTGTTGAAAAATTATATATTTACCTCGAATGGCAATATTTATGTCTTAATTTGCTTTCAGAACCTCTAACTATGAGAACTTAAAGCTTTTTTAAGAATGTCCTTATAATAAAAATAGTATTTTTTCTTTTTTAAACATAAATATAAATAATTTTAAGAGCAAGGTAAAAGTAAATAACAATATTTTTTAAATTTTAGATAGTAGTTGAATAGCATTTAAATAATAGCAGTTAGTTTATTGTTTTTCAGCTAAGCTATTTTATTGGCAGGAAATCCAAAGAAATAGTCATAAAGTAAAATGCATTCAAAATGTTTACTTTTTTAAAAATTTAAACCGTAATGCAAACGGGTAATATTAGTGTTTGAAAAATTTATCATTTTCTTAGATGTGCCGAATAATAAGATATAAAAAAGCAGAATGAATAAACAAATATTAATTAAATTATACTGTGTATTAATTATACTGTAAATAAATAAATATTAAAAAATTGCGTATTTAATTATGTTCGACGTAAGAATTTGCTTGACTTTTTTTAATGGCATTTTATATTAAAATTACTATCGTTATTCTTTTAGGAATGCCTGTCGTAAGGAGGAAGGAAAAATCATTAAATCAAGTCAAATGAAGATCAAGAAAAATCATCACAACTGTCACAAAAAGGAACAAAAAATACCCAGTGTATTATTATTTGCTTGATAAAAGTTTATTTTTCAATAAAAGGTGATTAAAAACTGAGATACACTGTGTAGTATGTATCTACCACTACAAAAATACAATTCCAATTCCTTAGTGTATAAGACATGTAAACTCGTTTCTATGGTGTGTACCTCTACATAGATGAAGGTTGACACTGTCGATGTCTACTCTTCCCGCAACTGTTTGCGAGGCCAGGATAGCCTGGTCGGTAGGGCGCTGGGCCAATGTCCGAGAGCTCGTGGGTTCGAACCCCGCCAGTCGAAGACTCCGTGTAGTAAAGTGACTGATGCACGTTAAATCTGTCAAGTCGCTAAAGTCCTCCATGTTCCCATAACAAATCAAGACCTCTGGGGGGTACTGGATAGGAGGTCGATCGTTCTCTAATTCAGGTCAAAATTACGATCTGTGGATGTATGAATGGGATGTATGAATGGGGTATAAAGGGGTGTGACGTATGGTTTGATAGAAGTCGAATTCCTGGCCATAGATGGCGCCACTGAAAAACAAGAACAATCACACTCACTCTGCCTAAAACTGGCATACGTCAACTACAACTGTATTTTTACAATGAATGGTGTTGCTTTTTTATTAAAGATACAAATGACTAATCGCGAGAAAAAAATACACTTTTAACATAAATTCTTATAGAGTAATATAAAAAGAGAAATACACTGGGATTACTGTTCATTGTCATTACAATCGTTTATAATTAAAGATGCGCCCAGCAATTATATGGTACTTGGTCAGATTTTCATTACCCAATTCCAGTAAAAGTAATTTCACTACTCGGTCGGTACCCGGCATATTTTACAGGGTATCTAGTTGCGAGTAACACTCTTTCCTGTTCGATTCAATCATATTTAAAATCATAGTAATTCTTAAAAATAATAGTAGTTCGGGAAATTAATGCATTACTGCAGTTTATTAATATATCAAGTTAAAATTACTGGTTGTAAAAAAAAAAAACTTGAATTACGAAAAAGCAGAACCGGAAAACATACCGTAAAATCCACTTTTACCGGAACATGTTACGGGACAAACAATCTGATAAACGGAAATTTTTATAGTAATAATTATCGTAATATTACTGAACTACTTAAATTAAATAAACATTACTGAAAAACTTATGGTATAATATTTCACGGGAAAAAAAGGATTTCTCTGTAAAATGGATCCTACGAGTGGTGCACCCAAAGTACCTGTACTTTATGCTGTAATTTGATCCGGAATATAGTGTATGATTATTATATTATTATCATTTATTTTTACCTGATAAAGTGGTCAACCGTTGGAGGATGTTCGCCGAAGGAAAATAGCTCGCAAATTCATAAATCAATGGCGAAAATTATTTTAACTCAATTATTGTGATAATAAAATAAAATCAAAATTAAAAAAAATAGGGAATGACATTGATTTTTTATTTTAAGTAATAAAATCATACTGAATGAAATTAAAAGATAACGATTGAGAAATACAATATAAATAAATTACTCTCATAATAAATTTACTTTCACTAAATGAATAAATGTAATAGTATGTTTTTAGGACAGATTTGTATTCGCAGCATTTTCTGGAAGTATAATAGATAAAAATTACGAACAGAATACAAATATTTTCTTTAAATTTAAACATTAAGTACAATATTAAAAAACGGGGAACCGGTACATCTTTATTTATAATCCCGGGCAACAAATAAAATTTTATCGATACCTTTGCATATGGGTGATTCTCACGAAATATGACAATTCACTGTCCCTTGCTCCAAGATCTAATATTAAGGTACTAAAAGAACTTTTTTTTTAAAAATAATAATAAATGGTATTGCTGTTAGCCTTTTAAAATGACTTTGCACTAGCATTGACTGTTTTGTATAGTAATTGAACTTCAAAATGTCATTTTCCTGGTATGTCCCAAATAATGTTTCCAATAATAACTAGCTTCAAAACTTCCCATAAATTTTTCACCATCTAATTTTTTTTATCTCAACCAAAGCATTTCTAGAATATACGCAGAGGGTATTATTTACAAAAACTTCGTTTAAAATAGTTTTTTCAGTCAATAATTTGTTTGTCCCAAGAAAATCTGTCATTTTCCTGGCTACTTTTATTTAGTGGTTTATAACCAAAATAGATAGAGTCAGCAATCAATATCTTATGTTAATGGATTGATTAGATACTATCTGAACATGTCTTGTTGCATGAATAAAGAACCAATTTTCTGGCTTAAAATCTATTTCAAAAATTTTTCAAGGTCAATAGGTTTTTATGTTGTCATTTTCCTGGCTTCTCGAAATCATTAATAACAAAAACTACATAGATTCTGAGTGATTTTAAGAAATACTGTTGTTTTCTGCAGAATATATACGTCTTAGGCCAAAATATTAAATTAAAGTAAAGTTATATGCTATAAAATGGCGAATTTGTCATTATCCTGGCTGTCATTTTCCTGGCTTATGAATGCCAGAACATTGAAGTGTTACCAGAATTTTTTTTAACTGCTAATACTGTAAGGAAGAAAGCAAATGTTAATCTAATACCAAGTTTATGTATGATTGTAATATGCTTGAGTGTAATCAAAGTAATTTATTTATTTAATGATTGATTATTATACACAATTTTATTCTGTACATATCAGCAACAAAAAAAATTTTGATTCTTCCTACCGTGGATAAAAAGAATTAATTTAAGCAATTTATGGTCCATCTAAATTAAAAACCTAAGTTGAGTTACTTACTATTAGCTTAAAATGACTGTTTCTTAAGTTTCTAAGGTAATATGTCATTTTCCTGGCATTCAAGATTTGGTGAATTTCTATTTTATTTTTTCTTCTAAAGAAGTATACAAAAAAAATTTTGATTATTTTGAAGACTTTAAATTTGAAGAAATTTTTTGGTCCGAATTGTCATGTTTAGAAAGAATCACCCATATACCTATATCGGTACCGGTACATCTTAATTTATAATCCCGGGTAACAAATAAAATGTTTGAAGGGTACCCGGGATCAAACAAGTGAAAGATTAATTTTGTACCGGATACCTGGACTTCGCAAAATTTTAGGATCCCTTACATCTCAGTCAATAATGTCGTATATCTGATAAGGTTCTATTCTCTATTGATATCTGTCCTATGTCTTATATTTGATAAGGGGCGTTTGGATCCCGAAAGGGAGTCTGAAAGGGACATCTAATCCATGAAACTGCAACCCATTTGTAAGCATAGCCTCCGTTATTGTTATTGGGTATGCGAATGTAATAATTTTCATGGAATACAACCAAAAAATAAATTTTTTATTTTATAACTAATTTATACTTATTTACTTTCAAATTAACACTCAGAATTTCAATTTTTAAAACATATTGTTATTTTGATGTTTAAATTTTATACCATCGCAAATTATGGGATTTTTACTTATGTTTCTCTTAAATTCTTAATCAATTTAGCAAATTTATTTAGATATGCAAAATCTCTTTCCCCTTACCATCTCCAAAGACATTACGTAAGATGCTTATTTATGCGAGGTGTTTCATAATGTCCACCCGTAATATATATTTTTATAAACCTCAAAATAAAGCGACTACAAGTGAATTCAATATCCGCATCCGACGTAAGATTTAAAGAGTCCCTTAGTTGACTAATGAAGCGAGTAATATTATCTCAAATTGTTTCACGTTTGAGCTTCAATAGCCCCATTTTGTCTGCCAAAATCATTTTGAGTTGAAGTCATTCTGATTAAATGGAAAGGAAATAAAAATGAAGTTGCATAAATAAATTCTCACCTCTTTAAACGCAAGAACATAAATTTTTTTTTTCTAATCCTGATTCGTAGAGAGCTTGAGTATTTCGGCACCATAATGTTAGTTCTTGCAGCGATCGTATTCTTTTATTTCCACTGACATATAGACTATAAACAAAACAACAACAAAAAACATTATTAGCAAGAAAAAAAGGAAAATTATTTGGTTACCTAGCAACCAGCCAGAGTTACAATTATTATTACAATTACAAGAGTTGCCAGCCGCGTTAAAACAATTATTTACACTGACTCTCCATTGATGCCACAACAAATGACAACCGAAATAATAAAAACATACTATTACATTTATTCATTTGGTGAAAGTAAATTTATTATGAGAGTAGTATACGTATATTGTATTTCAAAATAGTTATCTTTGAATTTTGTTTATTATGATTTTATTAACATAAAATAAAAAATTAACGTCGTTACTTTTTTTTTAATTTGGCTTTTATTTAAGTATCATATTAATTGAGTTAAAATAATTTTCACCATTGATTTTTGAATTTGCAAGTCTTTTACCTTCAGCGAACATATACCAAGGATGATTACTTAATCAAGTAATAAATAATAATAATAATAATATAATCGTACACTATAAAAAATATCTGATCAAATTACAGTATAAAGCACCTTAGCGTTGGGTGCATTACCACTTTACAGAGAAATCCATTTTTACCGTGAAATATTGTATCTCAAGTTCAACCCATATTTTACCACATTTAAAAAAAATTCTATAACATACTAATGAATGAAACATCAAGTAAAACATAACATTAAAAAAACTCACCAAAACTTTAATGGTTTAATATTTACAAGCTGTCCTATATATAGGACGATTTTCTAATCCACTACTAAATGTTTTCTGACCAAGCTTCTTAGTTTACATGAAATGACAGAAAATATTCGACGCAAAGTCATAAATTATATTTTTGGCACACAGTTTTAGTTTTTTTTATTACTGTTTTTAAGCGGACAATGGGGTCTTCTGTTAGGATCTTTTATAAATATATAATCAGTTTGTAATTTCAAGTAGTCTGAGTTTCTTTGTTGAACGCCTAAGAGTCTTCCTGCAATATTTCGAGGTACGCTCAATCCTAGGTAAGATACAGTAGTGCGTCGATGAAATTCTAAGAGTTCTGGAGTTTGTTTAGGCACGAAAA